TATATTTTTTACAGATGTAAAGAAAGATGTGTACCTGTTTTAAACTAAAATTTAAAAACATTTATTAAAAAAAAAAGAGACAGATACACGCACATCCTATGTGTGTCAGTATACTGAATCTACACGTAAGTGGTGAAAGGTAGATAACAATATAGTGGCTGGCAGGATAATCTCTAGATTAAAAGTCCTAGCTTAATTGGGATAGCATGAAGTTACTTGAAGAAAAAGTGGATATTGCTTGTATTTGGGCATGCCACTCAAAATCTGACAAAATTGGCCAGTATACTTAGCAATGGGTACAATTAAGGCTGGTAACCTACTCTAGATTACTGACATGAGGCTGAATTGGGAAAATGGAGCTGGAAAAAGTATTTTAAAGATTTGTTTGGGGACCACACTGAACCTTGAATAATGAAAATAATGCTATAATTATTAATGTTCAAAAAAAATAGATACAAAGAAAATCATGTTTTGAGAATTTATGAAAATGCTAATAGAGCAACTATGGATGGTGCAACTGGAGAAATATTAAAATATGCATTTGGCTTGCTTATGGATTGGCTGTATAAGTGATGGGAATATGTGGAATAAGTCTTATTTTAAGCATGGCAATGGGAGGATGTTAATTTTTGTTTGTTTGTTCTCATAAACCACCTACGGGGAACAGCTTATAAAGAATGGAGGTTTGGTGAAATTCTGCCTGATTAGATACAAGAAATGCAAGGAAATTGATCTGTCCAAAGGAGATATTTCAATACATCCATAGCTTTTCCTAAGGTTTGTTGACTGTAGCAATTTCTAATAACAACCAGAAATGCAGTTGAAAATTTCAGTCACAAATGTGGCTGAAACCCTGCAGTATGATTAAAATAAACTGGACACTTTTCAAGAAAAAGGACTACTCACTAACAGTATTTTTTATATGAATGCCATAAATAAACACATAAATAAGAAAAGTACCCCAGGATTAGGCTGATGTAATCTATTCATACCTGGAGCAATGCTGAAGTACTGTTTGATGGCTATTGTATCTGACAGGGTAGAAAGTACAGATAGCATGCCTAGTTTCAAGCTGTCATAAGGAGTTTGAAGAGCACATTCACACAGGGTCTAAAAGACAGACAAGAGAAAAAATAATTTTAAAGAAAACAAATCTTACATCAACTCTCAGACAATTTACATATACCTATTTACTACCTGACAATTCATAGCTAAGTCAGTGAACTACCTCTATTGACAAGCATTTTATTGGCCACCTTAAACAATACTTTGAGGTCACATAACAACTGAGCGATCAAAGCCCTCCTGCACATTATAATTGGGTACTGTAACAGTTACCCTGTACACAAGGCAATATTGCGATGGCAAGCAAAAGTGAACAGAGCAAGACAATATGGGTTTCTCTGTTAGGCATAAAGTCCTTCTCCATCCTGGTTTTCTCCAAAGTGTTGGATTACAATTACTATTCCAAGCTATATTGGAAAAAACTGGCATGCAGGGCACAGAGATTTTAGAAAAACCCTCCATTTTCAAATCTGAGCAGTGCAGAGGCACAAAGCCTATACATCCGTGATGATGAACCTGTGGCACGTGTGCCAGAGGTGGCACACAGAGCCCCCTCTGTGGGCACTCATGCCATCGCCAACTGCTCTTCCAGGTTCTGTCGCATGCATGCATGCAGGACAGCTTGTCCGACACGTATGCGCACTGGCCAGCTGCTCTCTTTTGGATTTTTGGATTCGCATAAAGGTCAGTTGGTCGCCACGCATGCGCATGACAAAACCTTGAAGAGCAACTGGCTGTCAACATGCGTACCGGCCAGCTGCTCTCTTCCGGGTTCTGGCGCTCAGGTGTGCGCTCCAGTTTCAGCACTCAGTCCCGAAAAGGTTAACTATCACTGCTATATGAAACTGTACCAACACACATAAAGGATGAAAGCAAGCCACAAATAAATTCTCCTTGATTGTTGCATTTTGAAGTATTTTAGGTGAACATTTGAATTTTTTAGTGCAAAAGTTTGGTTTATAAACAGTATTTTAAAAGAACCTAATTGGGGGCATTATAACTTTATTCATTGAAATGTACAAATACCCCAATTAGGATTTTTTTAGGTTTATAAATCTCTACATTTTTGTAAAATTCTGGTGCTTTTTTATATTCTGCTGATCCAAATGCCACAACATAAACATTAACATCCTCATCTTAAATACTACATTTTATTGGGCATTACTAATTATTACCCAATTTCTAGGGTTTACCAAAAGAAGAATTTTATATAAAGTAAGATTTTCTTTCTCACCACGCACAACTGGTCCATTCAGGTAGTGGATTTTTCCAACAATGGAAAGAACTGGTCTCAGAAGGTTAAGAGAAGAGTTCCAACACTGGATTCCTAATTTCAAGATCACAACTTCTGCAATCTTGGAATGGGAAATAAGCCAATACAACCTAAAGTGTCTTATAGATTTTCCAGGAACTTCAGAAGTACAGCCTTATAATATGTTTTAACGATCAGCTGGATATTTTTCATTTTTGCAGCAGCATTCACCTCTGCAGCCAAAATAAATCTCATGGGAAGTTTCAAGATTTTCACTTATTTTATATCTTCCCTTCCCTTCCTTTTGCTTTTATATAAGGAAACCACATAACAGATACTTTACTAGAAAGCTATAAATACTTAATAAATCTTCAATATAATGACCAAAAGACGCAATTACTGAGATGAGTTACTGAAGTGAACAAAATGAAGACGGTACCAGATGGATGTGTTTTTTATAAAACTGATTCTGATCTACATAGTGATAACCTTATGTTCCTCTTCATTATTTATTGTCATGACAAATCAGTCGTCAGCTTTGTTCTAAGCATCCTTGCTTTAAAAATTGTAAACTAATTTGTAATCCTTTCCTGACAAAATTTTCCTATTTGGAAACTTAACACAACAGAGTGGCAAAAAGTTCTTTTAAAAACAACCACAACTAAATGATACTGGCTAAGGAACAAATTCCAGAAATAATGTGACCTTCTTGGATCTCCTATGAATAAATAGTGGGAAATATTATTTTAAATAATTGACTTATAAAGGAGAAAAATGAAAGGCAGTAAAGCATGGAAGGAAACCTTGCACTTTACTTCTAAGATCTGTTCGCTACAGCCACTTATTTATGGAAGAACAAGACTATGAAACCTAGTTGAAATGCAATCTTAAGCAAAACTTTCAAAAAAAGCAGGTTATACACACTATATTGCCAAAAGTATTTGCTCACAATTTATTCTGATTATTTGGATGGGTGAGCGAATACTTTTGGCAATATAGTGTATGTCTATTTAGTAGACCAGTCATAATATTTTTAGTAATTTGCAACACCTAAATGTCCTGTATTGAGAAAGGTTACGTTATATATTTTTCAATTTCAAATGCACTACTTAAATATACTACAGAAACTGTGTTCAGCCTGCACAGGAAGTTTAAGCAGACGTTAGTGGCAAATATAAACAAAACAATCCTTCTCAGAATCCCTAGTCTATCCAGACACTTAAAACGTTCAAGTGCCACATCAATGACACAAGGTCACCTGAAGAGTGTAGTGTCTTATAAGATTAAAAATAAGCCACGAACTAATTCAGTCAGTTGCCAAATTCAATCCAGGGGTTTTAAGAACAGCATGTTATCTCTTCCTAATAACTCTTATTACTGGAATTAATTCTCATTTGCATAGAGAATTTATAAATTACACATTAGAATCTGCATAACAAAGTGTTCCTTTTCAATGTTTTAACTGAACACCATTTGCGCCCTCTGTAATGCATTCTCCATTACATTCTATTCCCGTTCCTGCTACGCCCCAGCAGGAATTTTCTGTACTCCTGAGATCATTCTTTAGACGTTTTAACTCGAATGTACCTCTTCAAAGGTTTTCTCTATAGCTTTTTATAGTTCTGCAAAACTGGGAATTTCCACTCCCATCTTCTGATTATGATTCTCTAATCTAGTGTACTGAAAATAACTTTTTTTCTTGCAGTTCTTACAGTTTGAGCTCAGGAAATATTAAAAGCACATTCCACACTTAAGAGTACAACAGGTGAAAATCAAGTAACTTCAGAGCATGTAATATTTCAACTGAGAGGAAAGGAGCCATCAAATAACTACTGTACATAATAGTTTCAGAGCTTACAGAATAAATAGATACGTCCTTCTACAGGTAACCCTCGCTTAACAGCCACAACTGGACCAATAATTCCATCATTAAGCAAAGTGGTTGCTAAGTGAACCCGTGACTGTGTTCGCAATATGGTCTTATTTAAGCTTTTCTTTGCTTTACAGATCCGTAAAAGTTATAAATGCAAGAATCGAACACAAAGTTACTTTTCCATCACTGCAATATCTGCAAATAGTCACTAAATGTAGCAGTGACTAAATGGTGATTACTTATAAGCAAAATAGGATTGAAAGCTAAGAAAGCCTGGAAAGAGATAGAGGGAATGAAATAGGAGAGGGACAGTTAAGACAAAAAAGGAAGAAAGGAAAAGAACAGGATGGATATACATGTAAAATAGAAAAATACATTGGTATTCATTGTGGGAACAGTAAACTAACACTCTTTAAATAAGCATGGATTCTGAAACTTTTAATAGAAAAAACTTATATCCACATTGATACTAAATGAAATTGTAATATTTATAAACAACTGGTTCTGTGAGTAAATAGGGCACAGATTATAATATCTCTCCTATGTTTAATACTTTACATTACATTACAAAAAATGATTAAGAAAAAATAGTCTGGATCCCTTTCAGTCAGGATTCAGACTTGGGTATGAGATAGAAATAGCACTGATCACACTTTTGGATGATCTCTGATGAGGGCAAGATGGCAGCTGTGCATCCATCCTGTCCTACTTGGGCTCTGTGGCTTTCAATACCATTGGCCATGATAACCTTTCGGATTGGCTTAGAGGATTGGGAGCGTGCTGGTGGCTTGCCTCTTTTCTCTGGCGCCAATACCAGTTGGTGGGGTAAGTGGAGAAAAGATCCTGAGCCCCAACTATGTGGACTGCTGAGGATTCAGTGCTGTCTCCACTCCCATTCAACATCGATATGAGGCTACTGAGTGAGCTCATGTATTAAAGCTATCATTTTTGATGAAGTCAGCAATATTTTAAACTGTATTTATTTATCCTCCCTCCCCCCCCCCAAAAAAATTCTGTGCCACTTTTGTCACTATATGGCATCACAGTGCTGAAGTTGTACAATGCAGGACCACAGAATTTTAATTCAACAATAAGAAAACAATAGCTACAGATCAGCATAAATAAATACAAAATTAAAAATCTCTTTTTTTAAGAGAAGACCTACATCAAACATGAGCAAAGAAATAACACATGTAGAATATGTTTGTATAGCAGGCAAACCAAAACATTGTAGGTTGAAAAAATACACTGTTGTTTCAAAATTTATATTGACTTGATATATTAAGCAAACATTCATAAACACAATTCTATGCATATTTATTTATATGTAAATCAAATCATTTCCTGTCCAATGCAAGGGCTTAGGAATGCAGCTTTTAATCGTCAATCCCAAAGCAAGTATTTCAGCCTAACTAGATGGATCAGATAAAAAATTACAATCAGATGAGCTAATTCTATTTTATTGTAAAACTACAATGCAGAAACTTGCAGACTTGCAAGTAATTCTCCTGCTACCTCAACCCCTTTACAGCCAGAAAACTAGGGAGGGTCTCTTCTGAGCCTCCTGCCCTCCCACATTCTTGCAATGGGTTCAACTGCCTTTTATCTGATCATTCCCTTGGTTATATCTCTTTGCCCTGTCTCCCGAGGTCATCCCCACATACCGTTACAAAACATGATGCTGTTTATATACCTCAATGTTCTCGTTGTTCCAAGTATGTGGTGTCTTTTTTGCAAGCAGCTTTAAATCTTGGATAGCAAGCCTCTTTACAGCCTCTCTTCGATCATTCTTCATATACTGCAGTAAGAGTTCTATCTGTAAAAAAAAGAAGACTTTAAAATGAAATTTCATTTCATTGGATTTCTTAAGGTAATGGCAAGTACAAGCAAGTCTCCCATTCTTGGAACTCTACATTTTTTAAAATATTTTTTGTAATTTTATAATGTTTCACTTTTTTTTAATGTGAAATTATTTGGTTTTTAATGTTTTATTTTACAGTGGTACTTGTTAATTGGTTCCGGGAGACGTGATAAGTACTAAAAATGATGAGTACCAAACAAACCAAATGACTTAATAAATGACCGTTTGTTTCAGGTGGAAAGAGTAGTGGGTCACAAGACAACCAACAGTGACACGTTCTAGTTTGCGCATCAAGTACCCCCAAAAATGCCGTATGAAGACAAAATTTTCGCATCAAAATGCATTGAGTACCACATTGAATGAGTTTTACAGCAGTTGAGTACCAATGTACTAATGTAGTGATTAAACTGTATGCCATCCAGAACCCTAAAATTTCTTCAACTTACCTAGAATGTTCACTTATTTTGTGCATCTAAAAAGTACATGCTTTCAAAGGAAAAACAAATCAGCAAAAAAAAAAAAAAGGGATTACCTGCTTGGGGATATCAACCAGAGAAGAGGCAGCAAGCAAGGTAAATGTGTGCAAAGTCACAATGACCATCTTAGTAGATGGATAGGATGTCACCAATTGTTGGAGCAGTTGTCGTGCACTGGAAGCCAGGCTGGCATCATGGTGCATATGCTGCAGAATGGGGATCAGCTTCAATTTCAAGTCTACAGGAGTCACTAAACCTGTTTAAAATAAAATAGCTTTCTGTATAAACCATAATCAAATTGGGGGAAGGTGCCTATAGAGGTGTTATAGGACATGCCAGGATATTAGAAATGTGCATAGTGCTATTATTACAGGATTGCAGCTACAGGGCAATGACTATGCAGTTCAATTTTTCAGCCCACTGCTTCCACTAAAATTAGGACTGTAGGGGTGAAACAATAGGTATTCAAGGACACAGCCTACACTGTTGCTTGTGTCAACAGTGCACAATGTATACACATTTTGAGATATATATAAAGCAATAATAATGGGTAATATAAACACCTATTCTAAAATGAATTGGCAGAGTCAGTTACTCAGAAAGAAATATGTTAGGGTTAAAACTAAATATTCTACCTTCTATGCGCCCAAGAAATTCAAATTTCCTCCTTGGATGCCCTCAGGTTGTGTTCGTATTTAGATACAAGCTGAAATTACCACATTCCCACTGTAAGACTATTCAATAATTATTTTACTGATAAGCAAGTTAAGACACAAGCCTTCAAATAAACATAATATCCACACAATTTACTATTCTCTCATGTGGTGTTAGAAACAGGTAATTTTATCTGTAATTTATTGAAAGAAGCCAGCTTCATAAACAATGCTTTGAAGTTTAAAATGGATTCCTGTTTGCTCAGATGAAGTTAAGAAGCTTGCTTAGTTAAGAAGCTTGCTTAATCAAAAATGGGCATTTTTTTCCTCATAGCCATTCTGAGTATGTGGAAGTTAATTTCCATTGTAAATTACTTGTGACATCTGAATCATACTGGAATTTTCTTCTTTCTCTAGGTCATGAAACTAACTTTTGAAGCATTAATAAATAACAGTTCTAAAAAGCATTTCTACGATACTATATATCCAACTAGGTGATGAGAAGGTTTGTGAACCCTTCAGAACTATCAGTAAGCAATCCAGAAATATGATTAAAGTGGACAAAACCCTTATCCAGCAAACCTTCACCCCTTTCATTAAACTGGCATTTCCAAAATTTTAGTTCAAAATGGAAATATTTTAAATAACAGAATTACCACTTTTTAAAAATTCTCTCAAAGGCACAGATATAAATATACAAGGAGAAAATTCAAAGGGCATATACCTTGAATCATTTCACTTATTTTGTTACATATTCCTCCTGCAAAATCTCTGTGAAGAAGGAAAAATATAATGAATCAAAATCAGAATAAACTCTGAAAACTCTGGCAGGGTCATATTTTCTTTTGCAGCATACTATTAGAGCTGATATTATTAGATTAAAGTTTGTATGTTTCTTTACAAACAAAATCAGTGTGTGTAAAACAATGAATACATCAAGAACACCAAAGAAAATGGTAAGTCAACCATACCAAATTGTTGCATGAACTGGACTTTGCATGTAGTTTTCCTACATTAAGCCTTAAAAAATAAAGTAGTTGACTATTTAGTTACATTATTCGTTCCACCTCCCTCTCTCTCCCTTTCTGCTTGTAAAGATAGTGAGAGATTACCAAGCTCCCAAGAATGCTATACTATATTTCAAGATTTGTACTGCTGCTACTACAGCAGAGTTAAATGACTGTTGGCATTAGTGATTTTCAGTGTTCAAAAAACTACAACTTTATAGTTGTACAGTACAAACTACTATGAACTATACTCATCTCTAAACGTTAGTATGAACTAGTGTTGGGCAACAGATAAGAAATTAATAAAATATTTCTATTCCTAACATTTGAAATATGTTTCATGAAATTTTGTGGGCTTTAGTTCTAAATAAGAATACTATTTCAGTCAAAACCACAAAATTATTGGTTTATATCTTGTTCATTTCCTATACGTGACTCAATCTTAATTAGCAGTGTAACATATAATACTGTATTTTAATTACAAAACAATCTAAAAACAAAGTACTGTTGAGCTTCATTCTTTTAATCTCCCCTTGCCACTCCTCTAAATTACACGGGAACGCAGCAGTGAAAGATCAATACTGGCTTCCCCATTGACTTTGCTTCTTAGCAGGTTGTAAAAGGTGATCATATGACCCCGGGAAACAGCAACTGTCATAAATATGAGTCAGTTACCAAGCATCTGAATTTTGATCATGTGACTGTGGGGATGCTGCAATGGTCATAGCTGTGAAAAACTGTCATGTCACTTTTTTCAGCGCCGTAAAATTGAATGGTCATTAAATGAACTGTTGTAAGCCTAGAGTTACTTGTACTAACATTTTTGCAAAAGTTGCCAAACTTTATTTTATTTTATTGTTTATATTTCATATCTCTAAACCACCCATCTCCCTCAGACAAAATGAAAAGAAAATGAATAAGAAAATAATGTAAGTAAAAGTCTATTTAGATTATTGATTAATTGCTTGCTATCTTGGGAACAAGGAACACATCTCAGGTGTTGTTCTTACTTGGATTGGGCAGAAAAATTGGCTGCAGCAAAAATGGCAGCTTCAACTTCAACGTTGTCATGCGAATCAAGGCTTTGGCGAATACTGTGATGTGCATTCTTCCTCTCAGGGATAATGGAAGCCATACTGCCTAGCATCCTGGAGAATAAAACAGAAGAATTCAGTATAAAACATTCATAACAATAAGCGATACTGTGGAAAAGTATTTTTCTTAATCCTATCTTAATTTTAACGTTGATTTTTAGATTTTGTTTTATTTATCAATTATATATTGCACACTGGCCAGAGCACCTCTTTGAGGGAGATGGGTAGTTTAGAATGAATGAATGAATGAATGAATGAATGAATGAATGAATGAATGAATGAATGAATGAATGAATGAATAGGCAGCATCTGGGCAGCCTTCCTTGATAAACAGGCATACCTTAATGTAATTGCTCGAGCAACTGGATCATTGCTATGAATAACTGAGAAAATTCTTTTCACAAATTCATCCACGTTGAGGATCTTTTCCAAGTGCTTCTCACTTTGCTGGGTCACTTTCAGAACACAAAGCCTCAGGAAGTTGTTACTGTTTTTAAAAATATATTTAATGTGTTTAATTGATAATTGTACTTTCCTTCCATGATCAATTTCAAAGTATTAGCAAACTTAATGAAAGAGTGTACATCAAATAAAAGAGTTTCAGAATTAAATATATTTAAAAATAGTCAAAATTACAAATCGCCAAACATAATCGACATAATAAAGAAGGGGGCTTTCTTCAGTTGCAAACAGTTTCTTGCTCATTCTATTCAAAAAATAACAGAGGTCCATAGAACAGGACCTCCACTGATAATTTTGCAAATATTTTTTTTGTCTTTTAATGACTCCATAATCCCTTAAATCGGGTTGGAGTCGGGGCAACTGAATGGAGCTGAGTATTTACTGACCATCTGGCAGGCCCTTCCTGTCGCCAATGTGGAGTTCGCTGCAGATATTTTCTCATTGCACCCAAAGAGAGAGAAACTATCTACTGCTACCTAGTATTGAACTCACAGTCTCCTGATTGTGAGGCAAGAGCTCCACCTCTAGGCCACTGCACCACTCAATTTTACAAAGAATACAAGACTTAAAATGAAGAAGCCGATCTTCCAAAGCAGCTGAGAAAAGATCGCCATGGGTCAAATAAAAAACAATAGTTACTAGAGTACTAAAATTAAGAAACAAAACATATTCACTCACCCAACTCTGAAAACATCAGCTAGCTTTAAAAATGCTGAATTAATTAAAATTGGGAATGGATATTTCTGAAAGAGTCTTGGAAAACGGACAACAGCCTCACATTGTTCTCCCAACTTCCCAGATCGAAGACCTATGAACAAATAATAACACAGTACAATGTTACAGCCTACAGAATCAACAACAAAACCCCCAAAAGAATCATGATAGTGTGTTCAAAATATTTGTCTAATGCAGTGGTTCCCAAATCTTTTCAGTCCACCGCCCCCTTGGTGCTACAAACTGATCCTTAGTGCCCCCCACCCAGTGGTGGAATTATTATTTTTTTACTATCAGTTCTGTGGGTGTGGCTGGGGGGGTCATGTGATGGGGCGGGTTGCACGATGGAAGGAAGATAGTAATAGTAAAATTCAAAAATGTAACAATTGCAAACAATTTATTCAAAATCCAATTTAAAAACATTTTTAGTTAATGTTAATTCAACAAAATTGTTGAACATGATCCAGCGATACCAGGTTTTCAAAGTCTGATAGTCATTTATCAAGAACCTTAGTAACTAGTAACTTAGTAAACTCAGTAAAATTTAGTAACTACTTCACTGTTCAGTAAATTCTGTGTAATTCTGCTTGATCATTCACACACACTGCTACCTTTTGTTTTTTTTCAAAATAACAGAGTAGGGTGGGGATAGAGAAGGAAGAAGACTTTGTTCTGTGGTATCTGCCATTTCAGAAATGCTCATTACACTGCTCCACATTATCAGTCTTTCTGTATTCCTCAATTTATTGGTGCCCAGCAGCTGGTCAAAACCCTAGTAGTACTTATGGAGCTGTAGATAATACTATGGCAAAATACAAGGCTTGCAGCTCATATATACCCATACAACATAAGAGTGATGCCATTATCCAGATTTAACTGTGACAAAGGTCTCACTGTGCATAAATATCAAGATAGGAAGGGCACTTTATTAAAAACAACTGCAATGTTTTGATTCCATTTGGTTATAAAACATCTTGTTTTGCATACTGGAATATTTAGACAGCATTTTCTTCTAATATGGGACGTTGTTCTATCATA